TTGAATTGGCGAAAGTCAATTTTTTGGAGATTTTGACCGGTAGTGTACTTTTTGACGAGGACGAACGATTATTTTAAAAGGGGGAGGATGTAACTACTCGGCTGGTCATTTTGAGAGTATTAGCCCCGATCCCCTATTAACTACTTCCCCCATATCCTTTCTGTTTATGTGACTTGTCGGGAGGTCTTGTTTTAGATTTCGGAGTGGTTTGGGATACTTAGTCCCTAAAATAGAAGCTTAAGTCTTAGGATTTTGATTGTAGTCAAAACTATGTGAAGACAAACTCCGGAATGGAGTTCAGGTGGTTCTGTTAGCTCCGTTGGGTGATTTTGGACATAGGGGAGTGTCTGGATTGTGTTTCTGATGTATGTAACTGATTTGGCTTGAATTAGCGAAAGTCAAATTTTTGGTGATTTTGACCGGTAGTGGACTTTTTGATATTGGAATCGGAATTCAATTTCGGAAGTTGAAATAGGTCTGAAATGTTGAATATGACTTGTGTGCAAAATATATGGTCAGCAGACCTGGTTTGATAGGTTTCAGCATCAGTTGTAGAAATTTAAAGTTTCAAGTTCATTCAGTTTGAATTGGAGGGTGATTCATGTTTTTAGCGTTGTTTTATGTGATTTATGGTTCGTCGAAGTACGTGTGGTCATTTGGGACTAGTTGGTATGTTTGGTTGAGGTCTCGGGAGTCTCGGGTGTGTTTCAGATGCTTAACGGATTGAATTTTGGACTTATGCAATTGCTGAAACTATCTGAGTTCTGGTGTTTTCGCACCTGCGGTGAGAAGATCATAGGTGCGGGATCGCATGTGTGGAGTGAAGGGTGCAAGTGCATTATTGGTCATGAAGGTCTGTAAGCGCATGTGCGAGAAGGAAGCCGCATCTGCGCATCTGCAGATTTGGATTGTTAGTCACAGGAGCAGTAATGGCGGCCTGGACAAGGGTCGCAGATGCGGAAGTCAAGCCACAGAAGCGAGCTCACAGGTGTGGACCAAAGCTCGCAGATGCAGTCCTAGCCATTTAAGTCATTTTCTCACCTGCGATGGTTTTCCCGCAGGTGTGGTACCACATGTGTGGTTGAAGGCTCGTAGAAGCGTGTTTACTAGGCAGAAAATAAGATTTCGAGAGTTGATTTCCCATTTTGATCTTGGTAGCTTGAGAGCTCGGTTTGAAGCGAAAATTCAAGGGATTTTTAGAGGAAGTTTGTTGGCAATGATTCTTAACTTTTTTAAGGTTATATCTCATTAATCTATAGTTTATTCCATCCTTTAATTAAAGGTTTGAGTTGGAAATTGGGTAAATACAATAGAAACTTCCCAGACTAAGTTTTTGAGATTTGGAAAGCGATTTGAGGTCGGATTTGCAAAATTCTTGTATGGTTAGACTCATGGGTGAATGAGTATTTGTATTATGTAACTTTTATCCGATTTCAAGATTTGGGCCCGGGGAGACTTTTTGGGGCAATTTTTTAATTTCTCGCTTTAGCTTTGATTTCATTAACTAGATTAGTTTCTTATAGTTATATTTATGATATGTAATTGATTTTGGCTAGATTTGGACCATTCGCAGTCGGATATTCATGGAAAAGGAATTATTACCGATTGATTGAGCTTGAGTCGAGGTAAATGGCTTGCCTAACCTTGTGTAGGGAAAATCCCCTTAGGATTGATATGTGAGTGTTGTGTACGTAAGGTAATGAGTACGTACACGGGCTATTATTGAAAAATCCGATTTATTTTACTGAATAGCGACTTGTTTTTCTTAAATTTGAGTTATACCGTTTAAATGAGTATTAGTCTGTTTTTCATTCTTAATTGAGTCATCCCAATATGTGTAGTTATCATATTTGTTCTAATATCGCATGTCTACATGTTTTAACTGCTTATTTGAACTTTTTGAAGCATGCCTAGTTGATTTCCTACTTTTTTGCCTTGTTCTTTCAGTCTTAATTGTAAAATTCTTGTTGCTAACTATGATATTTATCGGTGAGCTATGTGTTTACCTTTGAGACTAAGAGGCGGTTCCTAAGGAGTTCTCCTGCATATTTTTTTTGAGACTACAAGGCGGTTCCTCGGGAGTTTTCTCTGCGCATTTACTTTTGAGACTACGAAGCTATTCCTCGGGAGTTCTCCTTGTATATTTACTTTTGAGACTACGAGGCGGTACCTCGAGAGTTATCCCTCCATATTTATTTTGGGACTACGAGATGGTATGTCGGGAGATCCCCTACTGTTTATCCTTGTGTGTTGTATTGCTATATCGCTATGTTTTCCTTTGTTAAATTCCAGTATATTATTATACTATTATATTCTCCTGTTTTATTATCATATCCAAGTGGATTTGACCTGACCTCGTCTCTATTCTACCAAGGTTAGGCTTGACATTTACTGGGAACCGTTGTGGTGTACTCATGCTACTCTTCTGCACATATTTTATGTCCAGATCTAGGAAATATGTGCAGATCTAGGTACTACTTATCAGCCCCGCTATTCGCTGAGAGTACTTGTTGATGTATGGAGATTTCAAGGTACATCTGATGCGTCCGCAGACTTCGGAGTCCCCCTCTATTCTCTCCTATTTCATTTACCTCCATACTTCTTTTATTAGACTCTGGTGTATAGAGATACCAGTTTCCTTCTGTAGCTTGTGATTTACGATGTTCCGGGTTTTGGGAAGACTGTGTATTTCTTGAGTATCGGTTATTATGCATGTCGAGATGCATTTTTACTAGTTATTTATTTATCCACTACTGTTACATGTTAGTTGTCAAGTTTTACTTTCATTTTTGATATATTCCCGCAATTTGTTAGGCTTACCTAGTCGCAAGGCGGATCCAGGATTTTATGACTACGGGTGCCACTGTATTTAATGCAAACTTATTGCTAGTGAAGTAGATTAAAATTAAGGTGTATATTTAGTCAGTTCAATCCATTTTGGATTAATTTGGTTCGGTTCGACTTGGTTCGATCTACTTTGAGTACGTAAATAAATACGTGATCACTAAACTGAATAAGTTTGTCCAATTCGATCTAATTCCCATGATTCTAATTCTATCGAACAATGTAATTAAAACATAAAATAAAAATTTTAAATTAGTAAATACCCCCTTTGATCTATCGATTAGATCATTCTAAAAGTATTTAAAAATCAAGAAAAAACTAGCATTAGTCATTAGATGGATAAAAGAGATAATAACTAGAATCGTATTTAAATAAAATATTGAAGATATAGAACAAAAAGGGAGGAAAATATATTTCAATAAATATTAAAAATGAACTTGTACAAGGAGAGGAAATAGAAAGATGAACAGATAAAAGAAATTAACTAAAGGAGCAGGAATAAAAGAAAGAAAAGCGAACAAATTAGGGACAAACGGTAATATACTGGATTGTGCATCTAATAAGGTTCGATAATGCATCTTCCGTGTGGGGCTGAGCAGTTTAACCATGGCACCTTGAGCAATTTTGTGACTTCAGGTGTCAATCTCTACTTATAAAGGCTTTATTATGTAAAATACATATTGTTCACACCTCCTTTTTACCCACTCACTCGTGGGGTATATAAGAGAGTTTTTTCAATTAAAGTGACATTATACGAAATGAATTATTTTATTTATTTTTTAGAGTCACCACTTGGAATAGTTTATTTTGGTGTCCCAAATCACCGGTTTATTTTTAAAATCTCAAATCGAGGAGATTTGATTTTATTTAAAGGTCTGCGATCCAGAAATTCTGGATAAGGAATTATGTTAACCTAGGAGAAGGTGTTAGGCATTCCCTGGTTCCGTGGTTCAAGCACGGTCGCTTAAACTATTAATAATTGGCCTATTATCTATTTTATTACACGTTTTAAACCTATTGTCCGTTTTTAAACTTTATAACTGCTTTTAATTAATTATTGTTACATATCGAAAATCGTGTCACAGGAACCGTACCCACGATCTACGACATGTTTAAATTATTAAAGATTAAATTGTGGTTGGGTCACATAAATATACCCCCGAATTTTAGTAATTAAGCGTCACAACTACGTCACGGGAACCGTACCCGTAGCTATGACAATTATTTAATTAACGCGCCTAAAGCAAACTATGAAAGTTCAAGGCATTTTCTATACTAAATTTTTTATTTATGTGAGGGCCATAGGTTATGGATTTTGTTTGCGTATGACACACCTCAAATTATTTTCTAAAAAATAAGGATTAGTTCTTGATCTAATTTTGTGAGGGTCATGTGTTATAGGTTTTGTTTGGCATGACACACCTGAAATTATTTTAAGAAAAGATTTATATATATATATATATATTTAAAAGGGTAAACTAAAGGTGCTCCTATTTTATCTAATTTAAAACTAGGTATCACAACCTCGTCACAGAACCGTACCCGTAGTTATAATAATCAAATGCGCACCTAAAACAACTACAGATGTTTATGAATTAATTACTTCTAAGTTTGAGATTATTACCAAGTCATGAATCTATAGAGATAGAGTTGTATGAAGATGCGATGTCCGTGGAAACAAATTTCTAAATTGATCTTTAGCTAAACAGATTGGAGGAAAGAGATGCTTGTTCTACCTTCACTGTTTGACATATACGAATGGAAACAAACATGATATATAAAAATTACTTTTGCCAATTGCGACTAGCATTGTTTACCCAAGTCATGAATCTATAGAGATAGAGTTGTATGAAGATGCGATGTCCGTGGAAACAAATTTCTAAATTGATCCTTAACTAAACAAATTGGAGGAAAGAGATGCTTGTTCTAACATCATTGTTTGACATATATGAATGCAAAACAAATATAATATATAAAAATTACTTTTGCCTATTGCGACTAGCATTGTTTACCCAATAAAATCCAACAACTCAAACATATTCTCCTTATTTATTTAACCAAGACTTATTAAGCAAAAAATGAGCTCGATTTACGATATCCATAATGAATCAGTCCATAACGTAACTAATAGCCTTATTAAAATCACATTCTACGTATTGAACCAAGAAAAATAACTACATCATGTTTCATACAATTAGTAATCCTATATAGAACTCATAATCTGTATATCAAGTGATGGAAAAATAGTTATAACAACATTACAATGTATTATTAAATAAAAATAAATGATTCCTAATCAGAGCCTAGTAAATATATATCCTATATGAGGCAATTTGAATCTCCAATGATGCTTCTGGACGTTATTTTTTGGGCCTCCATGTTTACAGACATGACCAATTATGGTCAGATCTGCAAACTACAGCAAGGTAATCAATAGCAAACAACTTTTACATCCTCAAACTAACACAAATCTACATATCTTATGTACAAAACACTATAGTAAAACTCATGTTACTACAACTTCAATTTGTATTCAACAAAGATATGAAATTGATGAACTTCTAAAAAAAAATCTAACAACTAAGCTTATAATAATCATTCAGAGATAAAAAGGCAACAAATTTATCATTTTTCAGCATAATTTCTGATATAGAATCAACATCCAAACAAAATGAAACTTCCAACAACGAACCAATTATATGAATGTCAACAAATAGGACCTTTAACTCAGTTATCATACACACATGAAATAAATTTCAGAAAAGGAAATCCAAGTAGTTTGCATAACTGGGAATCAGATTTATTAGGTTAAGATCAAATGTTTAAGGCAAACACCATATTCCCTTCAAGACAACTCAGCAAAGCATACAAAAGTTCAGAAAAATACCTAGCAAAAGGGAAAAACAGCCTAAAGAAGCAAGGAAATCTGCAGTTCTAGCTCAGTTTAACAACACCAGCAATGAACAAACCCAAGAGTCTGTTCCAACTTCTAAAACCCAGCCAAGAAGAACCCCAAAACCAAAGAAAAACTCAAAGTTTCTTAAGAATCCTTTAGGAATGTTTGTTTTCAGCCGTTTGTTCCCTTTTTTTACACTTTTTTCTATGCCTTAATCATTGGCAAGAGGATCTTTTATAGAGTGAATTTATGGCAACCAAATCATATTTTTGTAATTCAAGCCCACCTCTCTTTAGTTCTGTTTTTGTTCTCTTTGATCCCAAATATTTAAATCCCACTCTCCCTTTTTCCTAGAACCTTCCTAGGTAGTTATCCAAAATTCTCTAAGTTAAATCCCTATATTAACCTCCCATCCCTTATAAAAGTAGACTTGGGCCACCGGACAGGCCTCAAAAGATCTTGGGCCCTTTTTGACCAAATCTCTTATCTAATGGGCCTGCCCGTTGTGTACAAACAAGCCCAAGTCTGAGTCAAACCAATCGAACAAACAAAAATCAAAGAAAAATGACATCCAAACATGAGGACTAAGACAATGTATTTTTTTGGAATTGGAACACATTAAAAGAAAAATGCAAATTAAAAGATAAATCACTTATTAATTAATAAAACGCCAAAAACTCAAATTTGTGCTAAGGCATGTTTGGTTCGAGCTTATGACATATGACAATTAATTGAACTTACAGAAGGAGAGGAGAGAGTATACCAAAACAAAGCTCTGGTATCCTTGAGAAACATAGACGAATCAAATCAAACTCCGACGGGCAAGAATCTCGGTCAAATGGTGAGAATTGCAACATGAACACCGGCCGAACTCGCGTCCATAGTTAGTGCTTCATGCAACAACCCTTGCCACATGCCAAAGACAAGACGATGCAAAGGCTCAAAGGGTTGAATCATCCACAACTATTTTACCCAAAATTCGACCAATCTGTGGGATAGGGCATTCTCAGCATTAAAATAATTCCCTTTGTTGAAGAACTAGGGAATTCAGACGGGCTTTATCCTGAATTGAGGACCAGGTCAAGAAAAATCGAACAGAGAGTAAAAAGATTTGATTTTTATTTCTTATATCTCAAATTCGGAGAAAATGAATGGCCTTTTGGAGAAATCAATGGCGGAACATGAATGAAGGGGTAACGTAGATTGTGTGGTTAAAATTTGAGGGCCTTTGGGGATGGTCCGCCGCCACGAGACGATTTTCAAGCGGCGGAGGAGCGGTGGAGAATGACGGAGGTCTCTGAGAGAAAGGCGATTAGGTTTAAGACCTAATCAAATAAATTATGAAGCCCATGGGTTGTGTTTGGTCGTGTAATGAGGTAAATGAGTTGAAACGACGTAGTTTTGAAGTGCAACTACGTCGTTTTGATAAAGAGAAAATTGACCAGGTTTGAAGGAATTGGTCTTGGTTCAGGGGCAGTTTTGGACGGGTTTTGGGCTGGGGAAATGGGACAATTTGAATTTCAGCCCAAACATGTATTAGACCATTCAATTCATTTTTGTCTCTTTCTTTTATTATTATTATTTTTTGATTATTTTTTTAAAATTAATGAAATCCTAAAATTAAAATCCTAAATTATCTAGATTGTAAAATTAGACTAATTATCTAATTAAAAAAATTATAAAAGTTACTTAATCCTAAATTAAAAGAGAAAAATCAATAATCTAAAAATAAAAAACGAAAAAATGTATAAATGGGCCATTTTTGTGATTTTTATTTTTAATAAAGCAAATAATTAATTAATCCTAAAAATGTAAAAACAAACCCAAATATATTGCATGGTATTTTTCGGAATTTTTTTATTATTTTAATAAACTTAAACATGCACAGAAATGCAAACAATTAATAAAATTCTACGAGAATTCCTAAAAATGGAAAATAATTAAGAAAAAATCTATTTTCTTGGGATTTTATAGGAGTAGTTCGTATAGAGAAAAAATCACATGCTAACAGCTACCCCTTTTTGCTCGGAAACACGAAGGGTTTTCGGGAAAAGATAAAATGACCAATTGCGAGGGATTTTTGCCCATTTGAAACTCCATGAGAAGCATCTTTTGAAAAATTCTGACTGAACCTTGCTACGGAGGTTGCCTACATTTCCTTGGCTATAAAGAAATCAGATTAGTGTAGTTTTGGAAGTTTTGGTAGCTGGGACTACCGGAAAACTGTGATTTCACATCTGTTGTTGTTGTTTCTTCTTGTTGAGCTCCTTATTACACCAATATGAAAAATAAAAAGCTAAATTAGCTAAGCTTATCAACTACGAGTTACAAGATTCCTATCTATAAACCTTCTAAAGCTTGATCTTGAGTCTTGGATGGTTCCTCTTGCAGACTCCGATCTAAATCTTGATGCTCGTTAACTGCAACCGCTGGTTCATTCTTCTTCAGCTTTTCGGATCAAAGCGGGACATGCAAATCTTGTGACTTCAATTATATCTTGAGCAGTCCGCATCTTTTCTCCGCTTCAACACTCAGAGTTCAACTTCTTTTCTTGTTCCTTCTTTTCTTTTACTTGGGTTGAGACTTCTTCTTTTGGTCACCTCAAACCTTGTGCTTCACGGTAAAAACCTGTTCAGGCACCAAAGCAAACAAAGGAACAACTTTTTCTCCCCCTGTTTTTACTAGGAAATTTTTGTGAGTTATTGCAAAAAAATCTAAGCTATTTCTTTATTGAAAGCAATAAAATCAGGATTGTGTATCCTTGGGAAAAAGAGATTAGGGAGTGGAGCCCTATATATATAATGAAATCAATTAGGGATTGAGGGCCTTAAATTGGAAAGATTGCCAGGTTATGCTGGAAAAATGGTTGGGTTATGCCGGAAAGGTATGAAGGTCCTTGGGTTATGCTGGGAAGGTCCACGGGTTATGCCGAGGAAGGTCATCAGGTTATGCCGGGGAGGTCCACGGGTTATGCCGGGGAGGTCCACGAGTTATGTCGGGAAAGTCATCGGGTTGTGCCGGAAAAAATAAAAGGTCTGCGGGTTATGCTGGGAAGGTCTACGGGTTATGCTGGGAGAGTCATCGGGATATGCTGGAAAAAAGGGAAAGGTCCTCGGGTTATATCGGGGAGGTCCACGGGTTATGCCAAAAAAGAAAAAGGTCCTCGGGTTATGCTGGGGAGGTCCACGGGTTATGCGGGGAGAGTCATCGGGTTATGACGAAAAAAAGGAAAAGTCATCGGGTTATGCCGGGGAGGTCCACGGGTTACGCCCAGAGATTCATCGGGTTATGCCAGAAAAAAAGGAAAGGTCCTCGGATTATGCCGGGGAGGTCCATGGGTTATGCCGAGAGAGTCATCGGGTTATGCTAGAAAAAGGGAAAGGTCCTCGGGTTATGCCGGGGAGGTCCACGGGTTATGCCAGGGAGGTCCACGGGTTATGCCAGGAGAGTCATCGAGTTATGCTACAAAAAGGGAAGGTCCTCGGGTTATGCCGGGGAGGTCCACGAGTTATGCCAGGAGAGTCATCGGGTTATGCCGAAAAAATGTAAAGGTCCTCGGATTATGTCGAGGAGGTCCACGGGTTATGTCGGGAGAGTCATCGGGTTATGCTGGAAAAAGGAAAAGGTTCTCGGGTAATGCCAGGGGGTCAATGGGTTATGCTGGGAGCGTCATTGGGTTATGCTGGAAAAAGGAAAGGTCATCGGGTTATGCCGGTAAGGTCCACGGGTTATGCCGGGAATCAACTAGAGAATAGAACCCTGTAATGGAAAAGACTGCCAGGTTATGTTGGGGGTGACTAGGGAATGGAAGCTACGTTGAAAAATCGTAGCTAGAGATTGGGAGCCCTATGATACCATGGTTTTGGATTTTCTTCTTCTTTCTTTTCAATTTACTTTTAGCACTTTATTTAGGGGGATGCATAGAGAGTTTCAAAGGGACTTCCCTTTTTGGGTTAACTTCCGCTACAGGACCATTCTGGTCTCCTCGTGCCTTGCTTTGATTGCACCTTCTTCTTGCGAGGTTGTTTTGGATTACAGATGTTTTCCAATCAAAGAACAATTTGTTAGTTTGAAATGGTGTTTGGTTTTGTGGCCTTGAGTATTTTGATCTCGGCCAAAATCTTTTGATGAAATCCTTTACTGCGCGCTGTCTTTCTGGGGACCGATTTCTCTTCTAAAACCAAGCATCTTGACTTTTAAAAAATTTCACATGATGGTTGACCCGTGTGGGGCTTTGTCCTTTCTTATTTTGCCTTTAGGGGCACTTGACTTTGGATTTCTTTCCTTTTCAATAATTTTGAGTCTGGATCATCGGCTATCATGGCCAGTCGAGATCGACTTGATGCACCTGTTGAGGCTGGGCATCTTTACTTGAACATGGCTTTTGCTAAGAAGAACCTTGTAAAACCAATCCTGCCATTCTTTCTTTTGATTAGTTTCAGAGGGGGATTAAACCGAAAGGTATTCAAAGAAAAGTAAAGTAAAGAAGGAACATGATAATGAATTTAAAGAGAAGTGTCCCTTTCGGGGGAGGAAAGAAAGACTCATCAGCATGTAGACTTCAATAGACATGACATGCTTCTTGAACTTGATACACGATCTGCGCAACTATTCAACCTCTCATAAACCTATTACGACTCTTGTTTTAAAACTGAGAAACCTTGCCAGGACTCTTTCAGTGCCAATGGTTGTAAGGGAGTCCTTCTTCTCGATCAACGGCGCCCTTTGTGGGTTTTCTACAATTGACCTCTCTTATTTCTCTTCTTACCATTTACTTATAGTGCTCTTTGTGAGTTTTCACTAACAAGACTCTCTCATTTTCAGTTTCTCTACTCACCATTGCCTTATAGTGCTCGTGTGAGTTTTCACCAATAAGACTTTCTCATTTTATTTCTTTCATCTTGTTGTATCAGTTCCAAGCAAACACATTCTTTGATTCTTGAACGCTCTCACCGATTGATCAGAATGACTTGAGCAGGATTTGGGGTAAAAAGTATTTGAATTGAATTAAAACTTTGTAACCATTCAGGCGGGATCATTGTCGAAACATCGTAACATCTGCCCTAGTTTTACTTTTGGGAAAATTAGGATTTTTGTTTTGGTGTGACTGAATCCCAGAGAGAGGCTGCCTACGTATCCTTTCAGAATCAAGTCGAACGTAGTTCAGGGAAACTTTTGTTTTTGTTTTTTCTTTTTTTTTTGTTTTTATACAAACGTTTTCAGGTTCCAAAGAGGGTAGTCAAAGAAAGGTAACCGACTCAAAGGGTTAGCAAAGGATTGGAGTGTTTGGGGTAGCGATAATGAAAGTCTTTGCCATCCCAATCGGATAATATTGGTACCGAAAAAGAGTTAAACGTAATACCTTTTGACCGCGTCTTCATTTACAGGTGTTTCAGGGTCATTTCCTTCAATGTCTCCCAGGTACAATGCCCCTTTCGGAAATAATTTTCTGATAATGTATAGGCCCTTCCAATTGGGAGTGAACTTTTCTTTTGCCTCCTTGTGATGAGCGAGAATACGTCTCAAAACGAGTTGCCCCACTTCAAACTTCCTAGGCCTCACTTTATTGTTGTAGGCACGGGCCATTCTTTGTTGATACAACTGCTAGTGGCAAACTACGACCATCCGCTTTTCGTCAATCAGGGTTAATTGTTCTAGATGAGTCTTGACCCACTCACTATCCTCAACTTCAGCCTCAACGATGATTCAGAGAAAAGGAATTTCAACTTCTGCAGGTATTACGACGTTAGTGCCATAAACCAATAGATAGGTTATTGCCCCAACTAACATGCGCATAGTTGTGCGATATCCCAACAATGCAAACAAAAACTTTTCATGCCACTGTCTCGAACTTTGGATCATCTTTCTACGAATCTTCTTGATGTTTTTGTTTTCTTCTTCAACAACACCATTAACTTTGGGCCGATAAGGGGTAGAATCCCGATGCGTGATCTTAAATTGTTCACATATCTCCCTCATCAAGTGACTATTCAAGTTTGCAGCATTGTCCATAATGATTGTTGTAGGGATATCAAAACGGCAGATGATGTTGGAGTGCACAAAGTCTACCACTGCTTTCTTAGTGACAGTTTTGAGAGTGATTTCTTCCACCCATTTTGTGAAGTAATCGATGGCAACCAATATGTATCTATGCCCATTTGAAGCTTTTGGCTTGATTGGCCCAATGACATCCATACCCCAAGTAATGAACGGCCATGGTGCCGACATAGGATGCAGTTTTGAGGGAGGTGCATGAATCAGGTCACCGTGTACCTGATACTGATGGCATTTACGGACGAAGCTGAAGCAATACTTTTCCATGGTGATCTAGTAATACCCTGCTCGAAGGATTTTCTTTGCAGGGACGTATCCATTCATATGAGGTCCACATACTCCTGTGTGTACTTCATTCATGATTCTTCCGGCCTCTTGAGCATCCACACATCTCAAAAGGTTCAAATCTGGAGTCCTTTTGTACAACACTTCTCCTCTCAAGAAGAAACCACCGACGAGCCTTCAAATGGTTCTCTTTTGATCTCCACTGGCTTGCTCGAGATATTCCTTTGTTTTCAAAAACATCTTGATATCACGGTACCAAGGCTGAACATTTGACTCCACCTTAACCGTATTACAATAACCATGCCTTTCTCGGATTTGGATTTCCAACGGGTCAATGTAGACATTGCCTGGATATGGCAATATCGAGGCCAAGGTAGCGAGTGCATCAGCTAACTCATTGTGAAACCGAGGAACATACCTGAACTCGACAGACTTGAACCATTTGCTAAGATGTTCCACATGTTGCCTGTATGGTATAAGTTTGACATCCCGAATTTCCCATTCTCCCTAAGCTTGTCGGATGATCAGATATGAATCTCCCATGATTACCAATTCTTTAACATCTTGGTCAATCGCCATGTTCATGCCCATAATGCAGGCTTCATACTCAGCAGTATTGTTTGGGCAGAAAAATCGAAGCTGGGCTATGGCTGGATAGTGTTGACCGGTGGGTGAAATCAAAATTGCCCCAATCCCGACACCTTTTGCATTTACAGCTCCATTAAAGAACATTTTCCAAGCATTGGTGTCTTCTGGAATTACCTTAACTGCATTTACTTCCTCGTATAGAAAGTAAGTACTTAAAGGCTGATAATCATCATCAACAGGATTTTCAGCTAGGTGATCCGCTAGAGCTTGAGCTTTCATTGTCGTGCGAGTGACATAGACTATGTCGAATTCGGTGAGCAGGATCTGCCATTTATCCAACCTTCTCATAGGCATCGGCTTCTTGAATATGTACTTTAAATGATCTAATCTGGTGATGAGGCAAGTGGTGTAGGCCATTAGGTAATGCCTAAGCTTCTAAGCGACCCAAGTTAGGGCGCAACAAGTTCTATCTAACAGGGTATATTTGGCTTCATAACTTGTGAACTTTTTGCTCAAATAGTAGATTGTCTGATCTTTCTTCCCGGTCACATCGTGTTTCCCGAGGACACAGCCGAAGAAATTCTCCAAAATTATCAGGTACAAAAACAAAGGCCTCCCCGGTTCGGGTGGGACCAATACTGGCGGGTTTGATAGATATTCTTTGGTTTTGTATAAGGCTTCTTGACACTCATCTGTCCATTTAATTGCTGCATCTTTCTTCAACATCTTGAATATGGGCTCACATGTGGAAGTCAACTGAGCAATGGATCGACTGATGTAGTTCAACCTTCCCAACAAACTCATAACCTCTTTCTTGGTTCTCGGAGGAGGAAAATCCCGAATAGACTTTATCTTCATTGGATCTTGATCAATGCCCCTCCGACCGATGATGAATCCCAAAAGTTTCCCAGACGGAACTCTAAATGCATATTTAGCCAGGTTTAGCTTCAAATCATACTTGCGCAGACGCTCAAAGAACTTTCTCAGGTACCGAACATGGTCATCCTGTGTTCTAGATTTAATGATCACATCATCCACATACATCTCGATTTCCTAGTGCATTAAGTCATGAAATATGGTAGTCATAGCTCTCAAGTACGTTTTCCCGACGTTCTTCAAACCAAAAGGCATGACCTTGTAATAATAGGTGTCCCAGGGTGTGGTGAAGGCTATCTTTTCTGCATCTTCTTCATCCATCAAGACCTGATGATATCAAGCATAACAATCCAAGAAAGACTGTATCTTATGTTTGGCACAGTTGTCAACGAGGATGTGGATGTTTGGCAGAGGAAAGTTGTCCTTAGGACTTGCTTTGTTCAGATCCTGATAGTCAACACATACTCGGGTTTTCCCATCTTTCTTTGGCACTGGGACTACATTAGCTAACCATGAGTTTTATCGGACCACTCTGATCACACCCGGTTTCAACTGCTTGGTGACCTCTTCTTTGATCTTGTCACTAATGTCAGTTTTGAACTTTCTTTGTTTTTGCTGGACAGGGGGACAATCGGGGTAAGTTGGCACTTTGTGCACCACTAGATCAACACTTAATCCTGGCATATCATCGTAGGACCAAGCAAACACATCTTTAAATTCAAACAAATGTTGGATCCTTGTATCCCTAGTTATTTCATCTGTGTGAATGCTTATCATGGTTTCTTGGACCTCTTCCGAACTACCCAAATTTACTGGCTCAGTTTCATTTAGATTTGGCTTAGGCTTATTCTCAAATTGTTCCAATTCTAGATTTATTTCCCTAAAAGCCTATTCTTTATCATATTCCGGTTCTTGATTCATTATTTCACAATTAGACAGCGTGTTTGGACCTGGGCATGAAGTTTGCAAGCATGTCATGTTATTTAAAGCCGCATTATTAGAACTGAAAGAAGAAATAAGAAAAAGTAACAAAAATCATAAATAATAAAGAGAGAGATTCATGAATGATGAAATATTGATTTTATTTCATTGAATTTTGAAGATAACAGGGTTTACATCGGAATTTAAAGACAGTAAACTAAAAGAAATATTCGAGTTACACTCTGGAATAACTTGTGATGTAGAAAAGGTGGAAAGATTGGACTACCGTGATTCCCGCATGACTGGGAATGGAGTAGCCTTCCAGTTTTGCAACTTGGCATTGGGCCCCATATACAGCACCTCAACAGTGCTCGAGCCTTCTACCGGCTGGACAATGTGGGTTTCATACAACATCTGCCTCATAGCTCCACATATTTCTTCAATTTCTTTGACGGTGAAGGCCTCATCTTCTTCTTCTATGTACTTGGGCTTGACGAATATTTCGAACAGATGCGGGATTGGCTGGGGAAAGACCCAACCATTGTTCTTTTGCTCATTTGCCCATGTTTCATTAGCTAGCGTGGCTTGAAAACCCATACTAAAGAACTTCTTGCTAGCAGCCAGAGTGATAGGTTCTATGACACCTTGTAATGATGTCCCAAGCCCCTTTCCGGGCTTATAACCATGCCTGATCATTTCCTTGGCAACCATAATTGACGCATTTGAGAGAAAGGGTTGAGGGTACGGGCTTCCTTCTTCATATTGGTCTGCGACTACAACCTCGAAAGCTTGATAGACTATATGTTCGCTAACTCCCTAGCTTCTAGACATGAGACTGATGGGTCCCGATAAATTGATTGCTTGTCCTCTTTGTGGACTACGATATCTTGATTTTCATATTCAAATTTCACCATCTGGTGGAGAGTTAAAGGTACGGGCCCTACCGCGTGAATCCAGGGCCTTCCTAAGAGGAAATTATAAGAAGTGTCCATGTCAAGGACATGAAATTGCACCTTGAAATCCACAGGACCAATGGTCAAAATCAGATCGATCTCGCCTATGGTGTCTCTTTTGATGCCATCAAAGGCACGCACATAGGCATTGTTAGGACTGATTCTCTCAGTCCCAATCTCCATTCTTTGCAAAGTTGAGAGAGGGAAAATATCAATTCCGGACCCGCCATCCAGCATGACTCTTTTCACATAGTACCCCTCGCATTTAACTGTTAAATGAAGGGCTTTGTTGTGGGCAGCCCCTTTCAGGGGCAGATCATTCTTTCTAAATGAGATCTGGTTAACTGTGAAGAACCTTTCTGCCATCCTTTCCAGTTGTTCAACAGTGGTTTCGATTGTTATCAACACTTTTTGATGCTCAGTAGAGCTTACTAGTAGAGACAAGAGTGAGACCTGTGAAGGAGACTTTCGGAGTTGGTTTATTACCTCATAGTCCGCAGTTTTCATTTTACGGAAGAATTCTTCAGCCTCCTCGGACTGACAGGCTTCATGAGTGGTAAACGCTTCTTCTTGGCTTTGTTCAAATCCTCCAAGTTAAGGTATTTCTTAGCTGGGTTAGTTTCATTTGCTTATCCTAGGACCTCTTTTCCCTTGTAGGTTACTACCATCTTATTATAATTCTATGGGACGGCAGTAAGGTCTGTCATGGGCTTCTGTGGTGCGCGGCCAATAACCACGGCTCATTCAGCCTTAGTGAAATTAGTGGCCCCCGTACCATATAGGTCCCTTTAGGCACGTACATCTTAGGTCCCTTATTCAGCTCGAACCTTGTTGGAGGGATCAATGTCATTTGTTCTTTCCTGTGACCCCGAGAAACATAAAGAATGTCATCATTTGGGGGTGTTGCCATAGTTTTGGTTTCCATTGTCTTTTCTGCACTCTGAGGGGTGAATTTACTTTTCTTTTCCCCTTTGTCTTGCTTTACAGCAGCCTTTGGTTTGTTTTCGACATCAATAATGGCAATGATGGCTTCAAAGCGGGATCAAACTCCTTATCTTCACAAATCATCCCAATAACTAGCCCATTGTTGTGAGTCGGTAATGGGTTGTTGGCCACATTAGGGATTTTTTCATCCTTTAGCACTATTTGACTTTGCTCTATGAGATTATCAACCGCCCTTTTTATAGTCCAACAGTCTTCAGTGTCATGTCCTTCCACCCCAGAATGATAGGCACATCGGGTACCGGGTCGGTAGGAAGGTGACTCTAAGTTTTGTCTATTGGAGGTAACTGGTTGTAGCAAACTCATTGGGACCAGTTTAGGGAATAGGATAGAGTATGATTCACCAATAGACATGAAGTTTGTTCTCTTGGGTGGCTCCCGAGCATGGGCATTGTAGGGGAAGTTATTTTGTGGAGGTCGGGATTATACTAAGCTTGGTGGGGAGTGTTATTTCTAGGGGGTGGAGCTCTGTTTTGGTTGAACTGTTACTAAGGCCGAGCGTATGGTTGGGCGTTCATCACCGTGTAAGGCTGGGGGGCCATAGAATAAGCCACATCCTAGTAGGGATAATAATGTTGTGGTGCGCTTGGAGGGAAGTAACCTCTGGGTGGACAAGCGTTTCTCATACCTGAAGCCATTATCGCCACTTCTTCCTTCTTCTTTCTATTCACTACACCTCCAGACCCACTTTGAATTGCTTGGGACATAGCTCTTATCACAGATTGGCTCAATATGCGCCTATTTTCAGACCATTCTTGACCATCTCACCAATCTTGATGGCCTCAGCAAAAGGTTTCCCCATTGCAGACATCATATTCTGAAAGTATTCAGCCTCTTAGGCTTATAGAAAAACACTCACCATTTCTGTCTCATCCATCGAGGGCTTGGCCTATTGTTCGCGCCATTTAACAACATATTCTCAAAAACTTTTTGATGACTTCTTCTTGAGATTTGACAGGGAATTCCCATCGGGAGCTGTGTCTATGTTATACTGAAACCTCCTGACAAAATCTCGAGCCAGATCATCCTAAATATGCCAATGAGATATGTCCTAATCCATGTACCACTCGGATGCGATGTCCACTAGACTTTCTCCGACATAAGTCATTAGGAGCTCCTCTTTTCCGCCTGCCCCTCTTAATTGATTGCAATACCTCTTGAGGTAGGCTATGGGGTCCCCGTGCCCTTCATACTTTTCGAACTTGGGGGTCTTGAAACCTAGGGGCAAATGCACATGCGGGAACATACATAGATCGGCGTAGGATATGCTTTTTTGTCTGATTAAGCCTTGTATATTCTTAAAGCTTTGTTCCATGCTCCTCACTTTCCGAGTGGTTTCCTCCTGCTCGGGGTTCTTTGTAGCCTTCTCCTGTCCTGCGGTAAACTTGTACCGGGGTTGTTGAGGGTAAGAATTGGTGGTGAAATGGGTAGGTTCTGGTGAAAAAGATGGTACTTGGAAAGTGAAAGATGATGGATAAAAGCTTGGCCTGGGCACAGTTGGTTGTACCGCAGCCGAGGTTGGTAGTG